AAGGACTTTAAGATTGCTGAATGAAGAGCTGGGCAACGGTGGCACACGCCTTTAATCCCAGCACTCGGGAGGCAGAGGCAGGCGGATCTCTGTAAGTTCGAGGACAGCCTGGTCTACAGAGAGAGTTCCAGGAAATGCTCTAAAGCAACACAGAGAAACCCTGTCTTGAAAAACCAAAGGAAAGAGAGAGAGAGAGAGAGAGAGAGAGAGAGAGAGAGAGAGAGAGAGAGAGAGAAAGATTGCTGAATGAATGCTAGGCAGATCAACAGGCAGCATTACCAGTGGATAGGAATGTGACTGTCAGCACAGGGACCTGATTTCACCAGGTCAGGCAAAAGTGTTCAGGACAGCCAAAGGGTGTGAGCTGTCAAAGACCCCATGTAACAGCGTGTGCTCACCCCCTGCGGCAGTGTGACCATGGGTGTGTTAGTCTCTCGAGGCTCTGGTTTCTAGTTTCATTTTAGTTTACAAAGGAAACAGGCCTGGTCCCCACTCTGAATGGGATGAAGCATGCAGGGAAGCTCCCCAAATTCTGATGGGAGATGAGGTAGACCTTCACAGAGGACTCAGTTTGGGGCTGAAATAACCAGGGAGACCGCCAGAGCCTGGAAGGCTTGATTGTTGCCCTCAATGGTCAGAAAGAAGAAAGGGAAGATTCTGAGACACAGCAGGTGCCCCTGCCACTCTGGGCACTGTGTTAGGGGTGTCTCACCTTCTGGCCCCACTGCCCCCTCGAAAAGCCTGCCAGACATGTGGGTTTGCAGATGAAGGGATGGGAGCAGGAAGATGGATGAAGTTACCGCTGCTGCCCAGCTCTCCGCTTAGTACTCAACTGAACTTTCCTACTTCAGATTCACCATGATTGAAGACAAGGAGAACAAAGAGCATTCTTCAGAAAGGGGGAGAGTGGCCCTCATTTTTTCCTTAAAGAATGAAGTTGGAGGACTCATAAAAGCACTGAAAATCTTCCAGGTATGGATTTCCCATAAAGCCCATCTGAAAACGAGTCTCTGAAATTCTATTTAAAATGTAAGGTACTGTCAGTTCCTTGGAGACGGCCTTCAGAAGTCTTTTAACAACTTACTAAAGTATTGTTCAGGGAGTGGAGACACAGCTCAGCGGCTAAAAATACTTCCTTGTGGAAGACATGGGTTCCGTTTCCAGCACCCACACCAGACAGCTCACAGCTATCTCTGTCTAGTTCCGGGGGACCCGATGTCCTCTTCTGGGTGCTTCACACCTGTGATGCACAACACTCAGGAGCACATACACAAAACAGATACAGTAGTGTTCAGTTCTGAGAAATGGGCAAGAAATACAGCAGCCTAGGAGAGAACAAATAGCTAAGGAGGATGTTAGAGGAGGAGTCACTGCATACATTTGAGAGATTGCAACTAAATAAAGTGTTTCACACTTAGCGAAAGGCCTAACCATGCAATGCTGATATTATTTAATGATATATTAAATATCTTCAGGTGACAAAGTGGTAAGGATTCTGAAATTAGGTACATGGAGCCACATCAGAGCTTCAGAGCCCATGGTCCTCAAATCTGTTTTCAGCGCAGCATAGGGAGACTGTGGGCTAATGTGCACTTATGAGGCTTAACAAAGTTTTTCTTTTTACTTTGTGTGTGTGTGTGTGTGTGTGTGTGTGTGTGTGTGTGTGTTATGTACATGTGCAGAGGCCAGTGGAGGATGTCAGGTGCCGTTCTCTATCATTCTATGCCTTATTCCTTTAAGACAGGGTCTCTCACTGGGCCTGAATCTAGGCTGGCAGCCAGCAAGCCCCGGAGATTCCCCTGGCTCTCACCCCATGGTGTGGCGTTACCGGCAAGTGGCTGCACCGAGCTGCTGATGTGGTTGCTGGGGATTCAAACCTATGCACGTGCAGCAGGCACTTCCGTCACCCACTGAGCCCCTCTCCTCCACGTCTCCTGGTGAAAAATGGTGAATCAGGCAGAGCGCAGATGTTTATCGAGCACTTGCTATGTGCAGGGCCCTGGACTCTTCACTAAGCGTGTGGATCTGAACAAACTAGACATGGTGCCTTTCTTCACAGATAGTGTGGTCTGGAAAAGGAGGCAGACACAAACAATTTAGTGAGTTCATGACACACACATACATGTGCAAAGTAAAGAGAGACACTGGATCTGGTGACGTCATGGAACTGGAGGCCCTAACCTGGTTTAAGGACCCAGGAACACAAAAACTGATTTCTAACAAACTGTGTGAACAGGCTATGCTATGGTGCTTGCACACCACATGGCTGGGCATGTTCTAGAAGCGGACTGTGTGTGTACAAAGCCCTCATTAGCTGGATGGGCATTGGGAGTTAATCTCTCTGCGTGTCTCAATAAAATAAGAGAGAACCTTGCCTACCTCATGTCGTTAAGAATTAATAGTTAAATTGTTCAAAGTGCTTGAGGTTGTACAAAGTAAATGGTCAATAAATGCTGGCTATGATTATGAAGCAGGTTTGTCTCTCCGTGACATATTATTTAGCCATTCAGTGACTAAACATTTAAATGCAGACACTGCTCTAGAAGAGCCTGGGAGCAGGGCTCCTACCACATGGCAGAGCTTCAGCCAGCTCCTCCAACCTGTTTCTCTCCCTTTCTTCTTTGGTGATGAGCTATAAAATACAAACTTTGCTATCGTTCCCTCCTGGCACTGTGAATTAATTTGTTCTCAGTGTGAGCAATGATATTGATACCATCTCCCTTTGTTCCTTTACCCCTTACTCCCCAAATTTAATACTACACTATTAATAATAATTATTATTATTATTATTATTGACATACTAGGAGTTAAACCGAGGGCTTTGAGCATGCTAGGCACAAGCTCTGTCACTCAGGGGTGTCCTCAGCTCTGTTTACTTATTGAGAAAGTCTCACTAACGTATCCAGGCTGCCCCCAAACCCATAATCCCCCTGCCTCAGCCTCCCAAGTAGCTAGGATTGCAGGCCTATACCAGCAAGCCTGGCTTATATTATTATTTTTACTGTATTGACTATCTCTGGACCTCTGGAGTATAAACCTTTATTTCTTCTTCCATCACTTCTCATTTTTATTTATTGTTAGAGTTTCTAGATGTGGTTTAAAAACTCAACACATTCTGTAAACTTATAAAGTACCAATCTCCTGCTCTATCTCTCCTTGCTCCAAATCTGTGTTTTTCCTTATCTATTTTATGTAGACAGGGTCTCCCTCTGTAGTTCAGGCTGGCCTGGAACTCCTCAGCCTCCCAAGTGCTGTGACTGCAGAGGTAAGCCACCATGCCCTGCTCACTCTTCAGAGTCGTTTCATTTCTCAGATAGCCTGGGTGTAGAGCATGACAAGTACTTTCTCTGCGGAGTCTTCTCCCCAGCTGCACATGGTCCCTCAGCTTGGCCTGCCCTTCCTTTCTGCCTTCCTCATTTCCGTTCGGTCCTCAGGTGCACTGTGGCGCCCACCTTCTGTTCTCCTGGGTTCATACTTTGTCTCTCCGATGAGCATCCGTTCATCCAAACCTGCTGCTTGTCTTTCCTCCTTTTCCCCGACTAGACTCTAGATCCCGTGTGCATCCTGCCATTCTTCATGACCATCATGCTCCTTACCTGGCCTCGTGGGTGTTCATGAAGTTATGTTTGGATGTAGGGATTAGTATACGTCATCTGCTCTGAGTCTTTCATGTATTTTCAGATTAAAAAATCATTTGGTGATTGGTCCTCATGTTTGACTTTTTGGTCTGAAGTGCTTTTCCTCAAATGTTCAAATGCTCTCCCCATTGAAGTTTGCAATGTGGTACCCAGATCTCAGACTGACATGGATGAAAAGAAGCAGTCTGCTTAAACTGGTTACCATGGCTATTCATATCATTTTGATATTTTAATACATGAAAATTTTCAAGTAACAATAACATCACCTTCTGAAAAAACTTTCTCCAGGATCCTTTTATCCCAGCAATTTGGTATTTGAGATTTTTTTAAAAAAATTATTTATTATTAAATGTTTATTCTCTCTCTCTCTCTCTCTCTCTCTCTCTCTCTCTCTCTCTCTCTCTCTCTCTCTCTCTCTGTAGGTTAGTGTGCAGGAGTCAGTTCTCTCCTACCTTGTGGGGTCCAGGGTTTGAACTCAGGTCCTCAGACTTGGTGGCAAACACATTGACTCACTGAGCCATATTGTTGACCCATGTTTTAGCTTTTGAGAAAGGGACTATGGGAGCTAGGAATGTAGCTTAGTAGTAGAGTGTAGAATGTACAAGGCCCTGGGTTCAGTACTTAGCTCTGACTGAAACTGAAGACACACACACACACACACACACACACACACACACACACACACACACACACA